CCTCTCTTCCTTCTCTTTTTTTATGGAGAAAGCAAGCCTGAGACTCCAAATTTTTCCTATCCTCAAAAGGATAAAAAGGCCCTGGCCAGTTTTGCTCAGTGGTTAGAGCGTCAGCCCTTGCACTGAAGGGTCTTGGGTTCAGTTCCCAGTACCCCGGTTGTGGTTCGAACCCCATCCCCTGTCGGAGAGCTTGCAGGAGGCAACCAATCAACGTGTCTCTCACGTCGCTGTTTCTCTCTCTCCGTCTCCCCCTCCTCCCTCCCTTCTCCTCTCTCTAAAAATCAATAGAAAAAATATCCTTAGGTGAGGATTGAAAAAAGCATAAAAAGAAGAAAATACACCTTTGGGGGATGTAGTTTATCAAACATAAAATGAGATTAAAATGAAAACTTACTGAGATTAGTATTCTAGAAAAAATTGATTGTATTTTTTATTTGACTGTCAAGGGGCTATTGTGGTCTCTATCAGCCCTAAAGCGGTCCTGGGTCACTGTGTCATAGCACACTCTGAGCGCATCGGAAACATACCTTCCTTCTTTCTTGGCATTGCCCAGTAGTCCATTGAAGGACTTGTTCTCTTGGACAAGTACAGACTTACTACTCCTTTTCCTGGGCTCCCGTCATATTAATATTTGTTTACATCTTGGAAGGTGCCACCCGCTCTTGCCTTCAGCCTTTTTATGTTCTCTGTCTGGAAGCCATCCCTTCCTGGCAAACTCCTGCTCCTACTCAGCCTCCAGGTGCCACTTCCCAGGAAGCCTTTCCTCTCCCACCCCAAGTTTTGGTTGGTTCCTCTCTTTTATACCCACAGCCCTGGGTACCTTCTCATTTTACTGTAAGATCTGTGAGACTAGGAACCATAACTGTCTCATTCACTTTTTATTTCAGTGCCCAGCACTGTGCTTAGCACTTCAAAGACACTGATTGAATATTAAGAGGAAATGATGGATGACTGGGTGGGTGGCAGTGGAAGGAAGGAAGGAAGGAAGGGAGGGAGGGAGGAAGGAAGGAAGGAAGGAAGGAAGGAAGGAAGGAAGGAAGGAAGGAGAGAGGGAGAGAGAGGGAGAGAGACAGGAGGAAAGGAGAAGGCCTCAGTGAGACAGCTGTCATTTGAGTTACAAGAATAGATTATTTGAGAAAACATAAGGTGATTTAATTAAAAACATAAACTCAGGTCTTATACACCTTCAGAGGTTATTGGTTAGGAGTCTTGGTTTAGCAGCCATTGTCCCCAAGGAAACAACATTTTGGAAACCAGAGGCAGTAGGCATTTGAGCGTCTCAGCGTGTTGTCGTCAGTTCAGCCAGGGTTATTTTCACGCGGGACGTGACAGACTAGAAGACGCTGCGCCTCCCATCCCAGCTCCTGCGCATCGGTTCTTCATATTTGCTGTTCTTTACCTCCCCTGCCCGGTCTGGCTGCGACTCCCATGCAGTTCAACCACCTCCTGCTCCTTCTCTGACTGATCCTTACACCTCCCTGCTGTTCAACTCAAGCCTCTTGACAAGTGCTGATGGCTGCTTGAGATGTTCCAGAGGAGGGGGGAGAGAGAGAGGGAGGAAGTGAGGGAGGGGCGAGGGAGGGAGGGAGAGAGAGAGAGAGAGAGAGAGAGAGAGACAGATTTTGTTGTTCCACCTATTTATGCATTCATTGGTTGCTTCTTGTATGTGCCTTTCCCGGAGATTGAACCCACAACTTTGGTGTATCTGGACAACGCTCTAACCAACAGCTACCCGGCCAGGGCCCCTGAGCAGGTTCCTGATGAGGTTTGCTGCTCTGCAGAGCCACCTGATTTCCATACACGTTTGCATTTGACAGTGGAAATCTTTGAGATGGTCTCTGCTTACCGCAGTCCTGTAGTTCACATCAGTGTTCAGGTCTCATTTTCCTTTTATCACAGAAGGTAGCAGATTCATATAAATGTACGAGTATCTCATATGGTTATTAGAAGCTAGTCATTTTTTTGAACTGTTTAGGCTGCATCTGCGTGTCAGTGCTGCATTGAGTTCTCAGTCTGTATTTTTCTTTCAAAATCCTCTGTAGATCTGCTTAAAACTCCAAATTTCTAGCATTCTCTGAGATGTTATTTAGCCTAAAACACATGCAGTGCCATTTTGTTAAAGTAGTAGATTTAGGGAATGTTGTACTAGAACCCTACAGTTGTAAGTAAATGTTTTATTAGATAAAGAACCCAGTTTTTTAAGCTTTAATGATTGGAGCTCTTTTAAAAAATCACAGCGCGTGGTAATGTGCTTGCTTTATATGTTTTGATAGAGCTCAAATGTGTTGTGTATTAGAGTAACAAAATCTATAGTCATATAGTGGCATTCAAGTCACTTAACTCTCGTTGGGCATCCTCAGGGGGTTGGGTCTCAGAATATTTGTTGAAAGTAGGTTTTATGGGACCAAACCTGAACTTAGCTAGAATAGTGAGTGCCACAGGTTTTGAAGTAGATGCCAATCTCTGGGCTTGGTCCCCAGGAACTGACCTAACCTGACAGTTTTTCTCTGTTTCTAAATCTGATGTCAGCTCATGTGATTCCAGTGCTTTAGAGTATCTGCTGGGCATAGTTGTGGGCTCTTTTTGAAGCAGCGTCTGTGCAGGGCGACAGCCCAAGCGGCCGCTGTTCTGTAAAGCAGCTCAGGCGACACTGACGTACCGGCGATTTTGGCCATGCTGGTGCTTGGGAGGACTTTCTCCTAATAGTGTTTTGTATCATGTTGCCTGTGTTGGCTCGGATGCTTCTTGGTCCTGACCTTTCGCTCTGTCTCATTTTCACGCAGGAGGACCCTGTTCCCAATGGCCTCCGGGCACTCCCAGTGTTCTATGCCGCTACGATAGCAATAAACGTGTTTTCCATCATGTACACAGGAGCGCCAGGTAAGAATTCCTTGGGAGCTCGCACCCAGCAGGCAGGGTGTTACCATCCGACGGTGGGTGTATCGGGTGCTGGCATTGTTGTGGGCTGACAGTGGAAAGCATTACTCGTGGTCATTATGGAGTCGTAAAAAGAGCAGTAAATGCATTTGCTAGTTTTAAATACTCAAGAGATAAGTGAAGTACAAAGACTTTCAAGTTTAAAATAAAAATTGAAATTCCCATTCTGCCGTTTACCCAGCTGTGTTGCCTTAGTGGCCTCCTTGCACCTTCTGAGTCTCAGAACAGGCTCTAACTCCTCGTGTCTCACCTCCCTGAGCTGGGGAGGGGTGGGGAGCGTAGTCCACACATTGGTGACACACCACGGGACACTGCGTGACATGGTGGAGAGCACAAATATCAAACTCCCTGGAAATGTCAGGCCAACACATCCAGCAACTAGAGGCTACACTTATTTTTTAGACACTGAAACCAGTGGTGACTTTCTTTTCAGAACTCCTTTTCTTCCGACACCAATGGCTTTTGTTCTTCTTTACAAGGGTTTTTGGGGTCTAGGGGGCAGGGTTAAAAGTTCTGTTCTTTTCCACTTTCAAGAGCTAAAGAAAAATTATGTACACTGTTCTTATTTGCACACATTTCAGTGAGGATGGACTGAACATTCTAGTTCAGTAGGTCTGTGCGTGTTTGGGTAGAGAGGGCTCCTCCCATTGCTCTGTGAGATGCCCTCCTACAGCCAGATCCTGAATATACCCATTGTTGTGGGGAGACCGGGGTCAGCAGATACATTCATTTGTGCTGTTTTTCTTCTTGTTAATGTCCTTTATGGAATAGGATTCAGTTATTGGCTATATCTGACAAAATTCTCCCTCTCCGATCAAAAGATAAAATTTCTTGAACTGGCACATCATATTACTGTAGGAAAATGCCCTCTTCCAAAATGGGGGGAAATCCTTAGGAATTTCTTATGGCAGTTTTGCTCAGATTTTAATAGCCATCTGTATTTATATGTTGTGCATCTCAATACTATGAATAAAAAACTTTCTGAATGATTCCTAACATTATATGGCTACTTTGGAATCTCCAAAGCATTTGAAACATTGATCTTAAAGGTCTGAAGACTCGTGATCAGGACTTTTGGACCCTGGGTGGCAGCCTGGCAGGGAGACATCACAGCTGCTTTAAGTTAAGGAAAAGCCCCAAGCTGAAGGTCATGGTGGTTGGAGAGATGAAACCCTAGCCTCAGATAACAGCAGCCTGACGGCCCTTTGGGTTTTGTAATTCATGGACTATGAAGTGTGTTTGGCAGACAGTTTTCATGCTCCATAAAAGAGAATCAGAGGCAGAGAAAAAACAGTGCTGGGCAGGCCCTGGAGCCCCAGGTTGAGAGTGAACTGCAGCAGAGGGATTCTTTGTCCATCTTCTTGCTCGTGAGTTCTTGTTCTTAATTTTGTTTGGGCTCTTAGAGCTCAAGTTAGCCAAACCAAAATAGCCAGACACCTCTGGCTTAGTGATTGAAGACACTGAGCCAGTGAAGGCTGGGGATGTCTTTGTGGTGCTGAGTCCTGAAAATGGGACTTGGCAACTAACGACAATTTATTTTTTGTTTCTGTATTTTTTTCTACCCTCCCTTCTTCTTGCTCCCTGGTTCTTCTTCCAAATGTCAGGAGAAGTCAACTGTGAGATTTTTTTTTTTAATTAAAATTTGACTTTTTCTGTACTTGGTGTATTTTTTCCATCTCTTTTTCTTTTCCTCTTCTGCTCCACTTTTATTGCAAATTTGCTAAAAGAATCATCTTACTGCAAGAGTAAATTATCCTAGAGAAAATTACACTATATAATGGATGAGACACTAAGGATTGTATAAATACTTCATAGAGAGGTTGTGAGAAATAAATAATAAAAATGCTAACTTATGTTGAGCTGAATTAATCCTTTTAGTCTTCCGAACTCCTTTAGGAAATTGGTAACGTTGCTTTGCTGGCTCCACTTGACAGATGGGAAACTGAGGCACAGCTATAGTGGGTACTCAAGGTCATATCACTAGTAAGGTGCAGAACCAAAATTTGAAGTAGACAGTCTAGCCTCGAGCCACAGGCTCTTAATTATGACCTTCATAGACCAAGTATAGAAAAGTCAAATTTTAATTTAAAAAAATCACACACCTGACTTTTGACACTGTAACTGGCATGGGTAAGATACTTAGCGTCTAGTACCTGGTACCTACTGTCACTGTTAAGGGCAATCAAAATACATCAGCCTTAATAGGTTCTTTCCCTTGTCATCAGTCTCTTTACAAATGGCTTCCAGTATATTTGGAAACCTGGCTGTATGTTTTTTTATATATTTAACATACAGGTTGTATGAAGAAGGCAGTTACCTCTTTAATTAATGAATATTTTAAAAATCTGTACAAGAATCTTGGCGATCGTTATCCATTTGAAATCACAAACAGTATGCTCAGTGTGAGTTCATGTTAAGTACTCTGGTTGAGTGACTGTGCTGTCAAGAACATCATATTTCCTCGCCTCCCTGACGCCATCGTAAAGTGAGGACAGTTTAGGACGCGCTCTGTGCTACGTGACAACGCGGCAGGACACTTAGTACAGTGCCTGGAACAAAATACCTCTTAATACACATTAGGGGCTGTTTTATCACCATCAGTCTTAAGTAGCCTCATCTTTTCGGCCCTAAGTCGCCATCATATCCTGAGTCATCCTATCTTTCTACTTTTTCCACACTTACTGGTATAAAATATTTCTTTCTTGACGTTTTCTGGGGGGCTGTCCTCGGGGAGAGGGCAGGAGGAGGTCATGACTGAAGGACCTGCCGTTTTGTTCTTCCACCACGTCAGAAAAGGACTTTGCAAATATTTTGGTTTGTGGGGAGTGTTTCCAGAATCTCCTGTAGGTGAGTTTAAATCTTATTTTTATTTAAACATTGAAGGCTGACTTTTGCCCTCCAGACTAGACTTGAATCACGTGCTCTTTCCGCACGTGGAGCCTCTCTGCCTGGCCAGCTGCGTCATGAGTAGCCGGGGTGTCCTGTGTGGCGACAAGGCTGAGCTAAGGGTCACTTCAACAGTGACTCGCGCCGTCTGCTCCTTGCAGAACGCCTGCCTTCCTGCCAGTCTGGGCCTTACCCCTCCTGGGTCCCTTTCTTCTTAGACGTCTCAGTGAGCACACAGGGGCCTCGGAAGTTGGGGGGGGGGACAAAGGTCTCGGACGAAACCAGTGACAGTGCTCACCACACCGTTTCAGCTTGAAGGGTTTGATGAACAGCATTCCTGTGCGTGGAGGTGGGTCCAGCGGGGACCCGCGGGCTGTTGAGTTACAGTGTTTTATTTGGATTTCCTCTGGTCCTCCACTCTAAGTTATGTTGAAGTTGTTTATATCTTTGGCTTAGTTTGATTTGTTTTACTTTGCATTTGACATGACTTTTCTGAAATAAAAGTCAATCTTGACACTTCAAAGACTAAGGTAGCACTTTGAAAAATTGCCTTTGCATTTCTTTGTCCTTTAAAAAATAATTTGCAAGAAGCAAAAATAACTCTAGGAAATAAAGTGCTCGCTTGGGTTGGATAGAAGCCTGAAGTCTATTTTTAATGGGAAAGCCTTCAGTTGTGCGGGCCTGGTTTTTGTTCAGCGCCTGAAGGATGAATGGTGAGATTCATTGCATGCCTCTTCGAGTCGGCCGAGCAGATCTCCTAGCTAAGCCTCTGGCAGTTATATATAAACCTTCTAAGTCAGAGTGTGGTCTCTAGACCAGCAGCGTCAGCTTCTCACCGTAAGTTGTCAAGATGCAGATTCTCAGGCCCAGGCCTAGACCCGCTGCAGCCCGGCAATTAGTGTTGTGCCAGAATCTGGAGACCCTGATCCACGGTACAGGTGGGAACCACTGCTCTACTCACGTCCTTCCCAAAACCTTTCACCACAAACACTGCTACTTCGTCGTGGTCCTTACGGCAGAGGGACCCTCCGAAAGTTCTCACCAGCGACGTGTGCTCGCTCTTTTTTACCAGCAAATGAGCTGTCAAACTTAACCAGGCTTGGTTTCTGGCTTCCTGAGAGCAGACTGTACCTGAGACAGGGCTGACACCCCTCCTCCTCCCCCTCCCCTCAACCCCTCCAATGTCTCCCCTCCATCCCCCCTTCTCGGCCTCTTCCTCTTCCAGCCATAGCTCTTCTGACCAGTCCCAGGAAATGAGAGCATCAGTATCCCCACGGCCCCTCTTGGCTCTGTGGGAAGGAGCTTTGTTCCCGGAGGATCGCTGTATCCCATGGTACCATTTCAAAGTTTTGAGCTGTAGAGAAACCGGATGTTTCCACGACAGTGACTCTTGATCCCGGGTCAGGAAGCCCTGGGTGAGGAGAGTCTCCAGTTTTCACCAAGGGCTGGATTCAAAGCAGGGTAACTTAAATTCATTTCCTTTTCAGAATTATTTTAAATGAGTCCTGGTTTGAGAAAGGACAGAAAATCCCAGTTATAGGACAGATTAGGAAAAATCGCATTTTCAGTTTCAAAAGAATACTTCATTTTCTTAAAGAAGTTGGCCAGGATTTTTTTAATGCCTTTTATTCTCTCTGGTGCTTTGAACAGGTTGATCTAAAACAAACTAAACAGAAACTAGTAACTCAATTTATCAGATATGGGAGGACTATTAAAATGTGATTCTGCAAGTGAGGTAAATATGTGTGTGTGTGTGTTACTGTGGAAAGATGTCCACATATATTGTTATGGGAGAAATGAAAGCACAGAACAGTATATACAGTAAGATCCTACATTTGTTAAGTTTAAAAAAACACACACACAGGAAAAACATTCTGGCCCACACTCTACACTGTGTGTTGGTTTGTGTCTAGATAATGCCTGGAAAGCTACCCGCCAACAGTGTTTCTCTGGGAAGTGGGTTCGAGAGGGGAGCGTGATGAGGAATTTTCACATTTGTACATCTTACAATTTTTGTACTGCTGATATTTTTGTAAGCATATATTATAAAATTACACTAAAAAGAGGAAGAGGAAACAAGGAAAGTTGTAGGGAGAGGCTGATGAGTGGGGCTATAAGGGAATTAATGTGGCCTAAAGCCTGATCGGTTGTCTAGAAGTTTTATTTATTTCATAGGTTCTAATGATGATTGTCATATACGAACAGCAAGAGGGGTAACAAAGTGATGACTCTGGAAGACTGTGCTCGTTTCTAAAACGTTCTATTTATTTTTTCCCTGAGTCACTTGAATCTTCTGATCTTTGGGGGATTTGGAATAGGATTGTAAAGATGCTTGAGGTTAGAGCTAAATCACTATTCATCATATCTTCGCTGTTCAGAAAGTGGAAAGGGCTGGAGATGAAAGGCCACTGAGCGGCTGGAGCGGAGGACTGGATGGAGGGCGCCCAGCCTGGCTTCCTGGCAGCCGCTTTTGGCTGCGGGAACCGGAGCAATTCAAGCCGTGTCCTACTTTGCAGGTCCACAGAGTGCAGGGGCAGGCTGTGCTTTATTGCCCTCCGAAGGTGCAATTATTGCAAAACATTCTTTAAAAAATATGTTTTTATTGGTTTTAGAGAGAGAGGAAGGGAGAGGGATAGAGAAAAACATCGATGAGAGAGAGACATCTATTGGCTGCCTCCTGCACGCCCCTGCTGTTCCCTGCCCAGGAATCGAACCGGTGACCTCTTGGTTCATGGGTTGACACTCAACCACTGACCCACACCAGCCGGGCTATTGCAAAACATTTTGAGATCCTCATGGGAAGACAATTCAATGCAAAGTATTTCTGTCAAAAATCTTGTTGTATGTAAGTCAGCCTTAAATTTTTCAGAAGAAAAAAGTTCTCCCTTGGATGTACATTGATTCCAGTGCTTTTCTATGCTGAATTTTTGTATTTAATTATTTTTTATCCATGAAACTTGATTTAATATATTTAGTACAATTTAAAATTATTTGTTAACATAACTGTCAGTTTGCATTTCTCATATGGAGGCTTTAAAAGTAAATCCTTGTGTTCTTTGGATGCTCAATTACATGACTGACTTGCTGGAATAATTTGGTAAGATCCAAATTCTGCCCCCATTCTGTTCCCCTGACTTTACTCACTATCAACAACTTGCCCCTATTTTCCTACATTTCTTCACTCCTTTTCCTCCTTGATGTTTTACTCTGTGCCCCACCCCCTCCACCCTCGGTGATGTGTTTGTCCCCTGCCCTCCCATCCAGTTCCTTGTGCCTGGGAGGGTGACTTCAGAGGTTTCTGGCCATGACCCAGACCAGTCCAATGGCAAAGATGGTTCTGACAGTAAAGGTTCAAAGAGCAGGTGACACTGTGGCTTATTGTCTAAGAATCAGAAGCTTATAACTGACTCAATTTCTCCCTTTCTGATGTTGTCCCTGACACCCTCTGAAATCCCACTTGACCCCAGCAGGGACCATGGAGAGGGCTTAGAAGAGACCCACAAAGCAGCCCTTCTCTGCTTTTGTTGTGGGCTCTGCTTGGCATGAATGGAAAAAATATCTCCCAAATTGTTTCTCTCTCCCCACAGTATCCAGGGCTTGCCTTTCTTAGATCAGGGTAACACAATGAAGTCAAAAGTAGCACAGTTAACAATTTTACCATCAACTAAACCAAGAGCCAAAGGAAACAGGGGAAACCTCTTCAAAAGCCAGCTACTTTTAAGCTGTAAGAATGATGCATGTTGATGTTAGGTGGTCAGTTTGATGTTGGTAATTAACAGTTACCATTCAGTTTGGCACGGAACAGCTTTGGAGTGATCCTTTATCACATGTATTAGACTGACATGAAGACAGAAAGCAGAAGCCAGGAGGCCGTGGCCCACAAGCATGGCCCTGTGAGGTCAGCCCCAGTGGTTTTATGAGCAGCTCCAAGCTTCGGGTTCTGGGGCCGAGCCGGGGCTGGAGCTGGCTGCCAGCTGCCAGCGCAGCCCACAGTCCCCAGCTTTCTGATGTACCCAGGAGTTTGGAAGAAGCAGTCTAGCCTCTAAGTGTCTATACTCGCACCAATGGCGCCCCCAGCTAGAATTACGCCAAGTGATTCCGGGTTTTTGTTTTTCACATTTATATATACTAATTCACTCCCCTTATAGTATTAATTACCTATTCTAAATCTTACAAATTACCAAAATGTTCAGTAATACCTTAATTGAATAACTTTGGGTTGGTTTATTTGTGTAAAACGGTTAATGATGTAACAAGCTTGCTTCATTAAAGATTTATTTAACCAAAGGCAACGTTTTAAATAGTTCACTCCTCTAACACTCTTTAAAAACTTTTAAGAGTTTACAAAAGTGCATGTTTATTATATATTTTCAAATTTAAAGGTACAAATGTATATGTAGTGAGAAGTGAAAGCCCCCTCCAGTTTCCCGTCTGTCCCTAGGAGTAACCATTGTGTCATTCTAGAACTTTTGTTACATATTCATGCATGTGGTAGGAGTAAATGTGGGGTTGTTATCTTTCTAAAACATAAATTGGATTATGCATACTCTTACTCACCCAGCCTTTCTTACTTAACTAGACCTTGGGACTCTTTCCTTATCAGTAATACAGATCCAACCTCATTTTTCTGACTGAAGACTATAACTATTCCACATTTCCATAATGATGCATATACGAGCTATCTTACAGATTCTTGCTGTTACAAGTAATGCTGTCGTAGGAATTCTTGTATGCCTAGTGTGTGTTCCTGTGCGAGCAAGCACGTGTTAAGTTGTGCTTCTCTGATTGTGTGTGAAAGTGCCTGTTGCCACCAGCGACGGAAGACAGACAGAATTCAGAGTGATGAGCTCTGGAGACGTTACAGGGCCAGGAGAACACAATGTTCCTAAACCAAGCGCACTCCACCCTTTTACTGCCCGATGTACTTGTACCTTAGTGTGCATTATCGCATTTCTAATGAGAAGTTTTTCTATGTTGTGATTCTGTGAGTTGACACTGCAAAGAAGAGTTAAGTTTGAAGGTCAAGATTCTTTTCAAACTCTTATTCCTAAGCTGACTTTTTATTTTATTTTATTTTTTGTTTTGTTTTTAAAATATATCTTTATTGACTTCAGAGAGAGGAAGGGAAAGGGGGAGAGAGAGAGAGAAACATCAGTGACGAGAGTCATTGATCGGCTGCAGCCCGCAACCGGGGCATGTGCCCTTTCCGGGAATCGAACCCCGATCTCCTGGATCCTAGGTCTACGCTCAACCGCTGAGCCACGCCCGGCTGGGCCTTAAGCTGACTTTTTAAAAGGTTAATGTATGTGGTCAGAGTGTCGTGTCCATTTAAAGCAGGGCTGCTGACCAGTGAGAAACCAGAAGAGGCAGTAGTCAGCTGCGCTGTGCAGCATCCAGACCTCAGCCTCTCCCAGCTCTGGGACGGACTGGCTGATAGGGCTCCTTTCTTAGCCATGTTTGTCCACTAGGGAATCTGGATATTGAGATAGGATGTAAGTGGTTTTATTGTCAACTTAATATGCTGCTTGTGCCAAATTGGTAACATTTTAATAATTAGGTTACTGACCAGTGTAACCACATATTCACAAGGTGATGTGTGTCTTAAACACACAGCTTTCTGTCCCAAAAAGCATAGCCCTTCTTTTTGGTTGAGAGTTTTATTAAATACAAAATCCAGGTGACTGGTTTGAGGTTAGGGGAATGGAAAGTACATTGCTGTGAGGCTTGACCGTTCAGAAAGTACCCACTGAGACCGCTGCTGTCGTTTCTGTTTCTCAGTGCTCGGCCTGGTCCTTCCCATATGGGCGATAGCGCTCATCTCCTTTGGCGTAGCGCTGCTGTTCTCCATTTTTGTGTGGCTCTTTGTGTGTCCATGGATGAGGAGGAAAATAGCAGGTAAGTGCTCTTTTATTCTCATTTACAAAAGTGCTCTGGTTCCTGAGACTTCAGAGGCAACACACAGTTATCCTACTAACAGAGGGAAACGGGAGCACAGACAACTCAGAACATACACTGAGACACATGTCCAGGCCTTCTCCTGGTTCCTGACTGCTTTCTGGCTCACACTTGTCACTGATAACTTGTGCCTCAGGTGAGCAGTAAGGCCCTGGTTGCCGTGGATAATGAAGTTAACTACACAGTTCAGTTCCACTAGCCTGATGAAAAACATTAACACCACACTAGGTATCACTTCACACCCTCAAGAACAGCTCGAAGTAAAAAGACTAGCAATCTCAAGTGTCGGTGAAGAAGTGGAAGAACTTTATTTATGGTGAAATGTAATGTGGTGCAGCCTCTGGAAATTAGTAGTTTAGCAGTTTCCTATAAAGTAAACACTTACCATATGGCCCAGTAATTCCACTCTCAGGTATTTATCCAAGAGCAGTGAAAATGTGTGTTAATGAAAATACTTGTACATGGATTGTTTAGTTGTAATTGCCCCAAACTGGAAACAACCCAAATGCTCATTAAAGGTTAATAGATAACCAAATTGTGGTATAGTCATACATTAGAAGACTGCTGAATGATATAGAGAATGAACTACCTACCACTATAGGCACAACAGGGCAAATTTCACAGACCTTATGGTAAGGAAAAGAAGCCAGATACAGAAGAGTTCATACTGTACGATTCCAGGGAAAATTAATCTATAGATAGAAATTGCTGGTTGCTGAGGCCAAAGGAAGGGTTGCAGGAGACAGACTGCAAAGGGGCAGGCAGGAACTTTGCAGGGACATGGAAGTGTATTCTGTCTTAATAAGATAGTGGTTATGGGGTATACTCACATGTCATAGGTCATCTACTTGAACATTTAAAATGTATGGATTTTATTGTATGTAAATTATGCCTTAGTAAAAACAGTTTTTAAAGAAAGAAGAAGAATATTGCTTGGAAAGCTGCAGGAGCTATTTTTCTGTCACTATCATAATAGCAACATAATTGAATTCCAAACCTTAAGGCCACATGTTTTCTCCAAATTCTCAAAAGAAAAGAAGTATTTACTTTTGACCTCACAGTAGACCTTACAGTCACATTTCAATATGGATATATCTGAATTTGAAAATCTGTATTTCAAAGAAGACCAAACAAATAAGACATACCATGTTCATAAACTGGAAGACTCAGTATAGTATAAAGATGTCAATTCTTCTCAAGTTGATCTACAGATTTAACATAATTTAAATAAAAATCCCAGCAGGATATTTTGTAGATTTAGACAAGCTGCTTTTAAATTTTATAATGAAAGGCAATGAAACTAGAAGAGCCAGAACATTTTTGAAAAAGAATAAAGTTGGAGGATTCATACTACTCGACTTTAAGACTCACTATAAAACTATTAGTGTGGTATTAGTGAACAGATGGACATCTAGATTAATAGAGCAGAACAGAGTCCAGAAATAGACATACACAAATATAACACATTGATTTTCATCAAAGTACAAAGGCAGTTCAATGAAGAAAGAATAGTCTTTCAACAAATGGTACTGGGACAACTGGGCAGCCATATGCCAAAAAAAGAACCTTGACCTAATCCTTACACCTTGTAAAAAATTAACTCAAAATGCATCATAGATCTAAATGTAAAATAGGAAACAATAAGACTCTTAGGGAAAACGGTCAGGGAAATATTGTGTGACTGTGGATTAAGTTTTAAGATATGACACCAAAAACACGACTCATAAAAGAAGTTGGTAAATTGTACTTCATTAAATTAAAAACTATTGCTCTGTGAGAAACACTATTAAGAGAATGAAAAGACAAGCTGTAGAGAAAATGTTTGCAAATCCCCTGACAAAGGAGTTACATTCACAATACATAAATCTAAGAAAACAACTCAGTTAAAAAAAATGAGCAAAACATTTGAACAGACACTTCACCAAAAAAGATATATGAATGGCAAATAAGTCCATGAAAAGGTGCTCAACATCACTAGCCATCAGGGAACTGCAAGTTGAAATCACAATGAGATATTATTATATACCTATTTGAATGGCTTAATTAAAAAGAAAAAGACAGTGCTAAGTGCTGATGAGGATGAGGAGGGGCTGGAGCTCTCATACATTATGGTGCAGCCACTCAAGGAAATGGCTTGGTAGTTTCTTACAGGATTAAATATACACTTGCCCACTCCTAGATATTTACCTTGAAAATGAAAATTTACATTTACACAAAAATCTAGATCTGAATGTTTACAGCAGGTTTATTTGTGATCATCCAAAACTAGACACAACCCAGATTATCCACAGAATGAATAAACTATGGTACATCCCTATGTTGAAATACTACTCAGCAACACAAAAGAATGGACTGTTGATACCTATAGGAACATGGATGAATCTCAAAGGCACTATGCCAAGTAAAAGGAGCCAGTTTCAGAAAATTAAATATCTTATGGCTTTATTTATATGACATCCTGAAAAAGGCAAAAATATAGGGACAGAGACAAGATCAGGGGTTGTCAAGGTTTAGCTCTGGGCAAAGGAGCTTTGGGGAGTGATGGACCCCTTCTCCATCCTGATCGTAATGAGGGTTACAGAAACCCAGACATGTATAAGAATCGGTTTGGTACACACATAGAAACCATTTACTGCATGTAAATTTAAAAACTAATAACAAAAATATCCGTATTAATACATGCAACCTCAAAACTAAATAGTGAATTCAGTTGACTCTGGTTCTTCCTTTCCTGGGTAGCCAGCCACTCCTTGCTGTCTGCAGAGAATAAATACCACCTCCTCCATTCACACTGAGTACTAGCTTAAGATGTGCCCCCTTAAGCATACTGCTTGTTTGATTTAACTGCATGGGGGTGATAAACTAGACTTAAATGCTTTGATTTTTTTTTAAAGGTTTTTCCTAATAGCTGAACCCAAATGTCAAATGGGCCATAAAAGCTTTGCTTTCCGGCCTTAGACGGTAACGTCACAACAGGAAACGGACATTGCTCCCCATTCTGGCTTCCTAGGAGATTTTTTTTGTCAACGTCATACATTTTGATATTTCAGTTTATATTTCCTGTTCTGTTATTTTAAGTATAGATTGGCAGTTAAGGGCCTGGACTGTAGAGCTAAACTGCCTGAATTTTACTACCTGTGAGACCTTGGCAAATGACTCAGTCTCTCTGTGCCTCAATCTGCTCATTAGTAAAATGCAGAAAATAATACCTGATTCATGTGTTAACAATCTTTGTTTTAATTATTATACAAGTATTATCTTCTCTCGTCTAGATTATAAGCAAGTTGAAGTCAATAGATCTGTATGTACATTTCTTGTTCCCTGTAGTATGTAAAAGAAATTTAGTTTTAAAAAACCTATCTCTGTCTGACTAGGCAGATAGAGAGAAGAGAGATGATAGGGAGAGAGATTATGTGTGAATGTCTTCAGCAGAGGTGAGAGCTTAGAAATTTGCTCAGGAAATTCTGCAAGGGTAAGATCATTAAGTCAATAGCACCACATAACAGATTCGATTAAAAAGAGTGCTAGCGAGCTTTAAAGCGGCTTTTTAAAAATCCCCTGTTTCTTTTGAAAGTAAAGGATTTTTAAAAGTAAGTAGGACCTCTCTGGGTTTTGGGAGGAGGGGGGATGGCGGGTTGAGAAAAATGATTTACTTGTTTCTTAAGATTTAGTGATCTGGAGAAATCTGAGACCAATAGTTTATTGAACAAAAGAAAACCAAACAAACTATAACAATGTCTGCGAAGACAAAAAGGATAACATTTCAGTGATTCTGAGGTTGGTTTAAGAAAATAGAAGGCCAGTCTGGATGGTTAAAGAATTACAGAATGCTAGCCCTGTACAGGGACCCTGGGAATCAGTTCTAACCCGCTATGTTTTGCTGGTTTTTGATGAGATAATTCAGGCCCCACGCCCCCATCTTTTCCTCAATAGCTGAATTTTCTGGCCTAAGTGTCCCAGATAATCGGTTGAACTCTCTATTTAATTTTCTCTATCTAGCTGTAATGTTTTGTTTCATTTCCAAAATAAGCACTAAGGTATAAAGATAAATATTCATTTTTAGTATTTATTTTTCAATAACAAGAATTCTTCCAAAATTTTCAACTATGACTATATTTTCTTCAGGCAAATTACAAAAAGAAGGTGCTTTATCACGAGTCTCTGATGAAAGCCTCAATAAAATTCAGGAAACGGAGTCCCCAGTATTTAAAGAGCTCCCGGGTGTCAAGGCTCACGACGACAGCACCGTCCCTCTCACGGGGCCGGTTGGGGAGACATCTGTGGCCTCAGAAGGCACATCAGTGATCAACCACCCCCGGACTGCCTATGGTAAGACCCATTTGGAGCGCTTGGGTTTGGATGGTGGCGGGGAGCAGTTCCTCAGGGTAAGCAGCTGGGCCTGCATGTGGGTGGTTAGGTTTCAGTGCACAAAAGTGTCCCCCAGTTTTAGGTTTTGAGAAAACCCAGGGACTCAAGAGGCCTCAGGAGACCAGCCCTTCAATCAGCAGAGCAGGATTACTCTTGCCCTGTGCCTTTCTTCCAATAACTATTTATAGTCTATCCGAGGCGCCAAGGGTGCGCACGTGGTGCTGCTGTGCGGCTCACTCAGCTGCATGCGCACATTTCCAGCTGCATGTGCGCATTTCCACGTTGCAGTTACCTAACTGCTCAAGGTTGGCTTACCCAGCTTAATCAGGATGCCTTCCTCGTGACAGATATAAAGAGGAAGCTAAAATTGGAACCAAGGCGGTCTCCCGCCATAGAGAAACCTCAGAAAACATCAAGACTGTTCCCGGTATCCTTTTGTCCCATAACGTTTACAGACAATGGTGGGCGAGCCCCAGCCTCTGCCAGGCCTGTCGGGGAGCTGCCCGCCTCCCTGCAGGGTGGGGGCCTGGCACCCGCTCTCTGTAGGTGTGGTCTCAGATTTGGCCCAGAGGAAGCAAATTAATTTTGCCCCGCAGATCTGACACACTGCCTTTGACAGTCATGACTGGCCTTTTAACGAGCACCTAGAATATCTGTCTCACAGGGAGGCGGGTTTTGCCCCTTCTGTATGAAGTTTTCTAATGCAAGTTCCTTATAAGGATTCTCCTTTTATTGGTTACTAGAAACAGGAGAGGATGCTGTAGTAATCTCTGGAAGACACTTTTTAGGAGAACTTAAATAACAACATTTACAAATATCATATTATTAGTTTTACCCTTTTGTAGTTTGTTTCCAAGTTTTCTTTTTTATTTTAACCATATTACGTGTCCTTTAGAGTCAATTTAGAAAATAAGGCCTGTGGGAAAAATTTAAGTCACCCATAATCCAGCCTTGCAGAGATTACCATCATGACGCGGTGGGGAGTATTTCCTTCCAGACACGATTTCCATGCAAAAGGCTAGAAAATAAGACTCTCTCCTCACCCGTTTCAGGAAGGGCACTTTCCATGACTCACGGCTCTACGAAATCGCCCATCTCCAACGGCACGTTCGGCTTCGACGGCCACACGAGGAGCGACGGCCACGTGTACCACACCGTTCACAAGGACTCGGGGCTCTACAAAGACTTGCTGCACAGGATCCACACGGACAGGGGCCCCGACGACAAGCCCGCCCCCGAGAACAACTACCGGTTCCTGCGGCGGAACAACAGCTACACCTGCTACACGGCGGCCATCTGCGGGATGCCCGTCCACTCCACTTTCAAAGCTGCTGACTCGTCACCTGCCCCCGAGGACAGCGAAAAGCTGGTGGGTGACACCGTGTCCTATTCTAAAAAGAGACTTCGCTATGACAGCTACTCAAGCTACTGCAATGCAGTAGCCGAAGCTGAGATAGAGGCGGAGGAGGGAGGCGTGGAAATGAAGCTGGCGTCGGAGCTGGCAGATGCCAGCCGGCCTCGAGAGGACCCTGTGGAAGAAGAAAAGGAAGAGAAAGACACGTCCGAGGTCCACCTCCTCTTCCATTTCCTGCAAGTGCTGACTGCCTGTTTTGGATCCTTTGCACACGGTGGCAATGATGTGAGGTGAGGACATTCATTCATTCAACAAGTATGGACCGAGGGTTTGCGTGTGCCAAGCACTGTTCCGGGTGCCAGGACACAGCAGCGAACAACACAGACAAAAAACCCGTCAGTCACGGCGGGGTGGGGCACAGAGAGCAAACAGTGAAATGAAGTAGCACGTGTACTGCGCTAGGCAGTGATGAATGTTAAAGGGAAAAGTCAGCTGGAAAGGGGATTGGAGCTGCTGGGATTGCAGTGTTGGAGAGGCTGCTCAGGGAAAGGCTCACTAGTGATATCTGAAAGGGTGAAGAGAGCCAGCCATGTGAGCATCTGCAGGAAGAGCATTTCAAGAAGAGGGAACAGCAGGTGCAAAGGCCTGAGGCAGGAATATGCCTGGTGTATCCTAGGAAGAGCAAGGAGGCCACAGAGGGAGAATGTAGACTGTAAGGTTAGCAGATCATGGAGTCCTGGAATATGTAGGAAATATGTAGGAATATATAGAATCTCTACCCCTTTTTTACTAGCTAGGTAGCTAGTGATAAGTCACTTGATTTTCTGAAAGCCTCAGTATCCCAATCTGTAAAATGGAAGTAAAACTAGTACCAACCTCATGGGGTTTTCATGAGGATTAAGTGAGATGCTTTATATAACATGCTTAGGACGGTGCTCCTCCCATAATCAGTATCTATACATTTTCACTATTCCTATTATTATAATTATTATGCAGGGCTAATGTTTCTGTCCAAATCAGGCAAAGATGCTATTGTTGCTTTTTTTAAGAAATCTAATCCTGACCCCAGGATATGTTTATTGATTTTAGAGAGGAAGGAAGGGGGGGAGAGAGAGAGAGAGAGAAACATCGACTGGTTGCCTCCAGGACGCGCCTCTACCGGGGATCAAACCAGCAACTTTTCAGTGCAGGGGACAGCGCTCAAACCAACGGAGCCACCTGGCCAGGGCCTGTTGTTCCATTTTTATTGCCCAGTTATATGACTCTCCACTTCACAGCCATGGGTTCTATACACTGCCTGCCCACATGAAACTGCATTTCTGTTCTTTTTTAAAAAGAGTCTCTGTCAGGCGAGGCCTCAGTGCCGAACCATTTGTAACTTATTCTCATTCTTCTCAAAACGGCTCTTTGAGGTCATCAGTGGTATTGGTCGGGTGGGGAATCGGAACCTCAGAAACGTGATGATGCTTGCCCAGGATAGCACAGCTAGAGAGGAGCAGACTTGAGAGCCCTGGGTTCTTTGTGACTCTCAGCCCACACTCTGTCTAGAGTGTAGCCTGGGGTGGGAGGAGGAGACTGGAGCTTCAGAAGCCGTTAAAAGCCTGTGTGTAGTTCTGTGTGTAAGGAACTTGGAAGTTGTCACTCTATCCTAAAAACAAGTAAAAAACTGAACAGACTGAAAATTCAACAACTCTTTTTGTATCCAGAAGAGAGAGGAAGACACAGAGCAAACCACTGCCCCCAAGATTGGAGATACAGTCAAACACAGGGAGTCAGAGAGGAGAGGCTCAAGAGTGGAAGCTGCTGTGGGAACCAGTGCCCAGTGGGAAAATCTGAACTGTAGTGATGAATTCCTACAGGCTCAGTGGGGACAAGTCTGAGAGTTAAAGACTCCAGAGGGATCCAGTGGTAGAAACAGTTAAACAAAGAAGTATAATGGATACACTAAGAAAGGAGAGGAAATAGAATCATATCAAATGCTCGGTTAAGACAAAATAGAACAAAGAACAAGGGCAACAAATAGAAAAGAGTAACAAATATGATAGATATTAATCCAACTATGTCAAAATCACTTTGAATGTCAGACATCTATCTACGTGTACCAGTTGAAAGACAGATTGTCAGACTGGATCAAAAAACAAGACCCAACTATATGTTGTCTATAAGAAACCCACTTTAAATATGAAGATACATACAGGTTGAAAGTAAATGGAAGGAGGAAAATATATCACGCTGACACTAATCAAAAGAAAGCAGAAGTAGCTAACTATTAATTTCAGACAGAGCAGACATGGACAGATTCAGCAGGCAGAAAATCAGTAAGGATTTGAACTCAGCATAGTTGAACTCAGTCAAGTTTAACTCAGCAACACCATCAGTCAACTATATATCATTTACATTTATAGACTTCAGCAACAGGAGAATTCACATTCTCAAGCTCACATAAAACATTTAACAAAATAAGCCTCATTCTGGACCATGAAATGCACCTAAATACATTAAAAAAAAAAAAAAAAAATAGAACTAATACAATGCCTGCTCTGTGACCACAATGAAATTAAGCTAGAAATCAATAAAAGAAAGATAACTGGGAAATCCCCAAATATGTGGAGATTATACACCACACTTGTAAATGACACATGGATCAAAAAAGAAACATCAAGAGAAATTTCTAAATATTTTAAACTAAATGAAAATAATACACCAATATTTGTGGGATACAGTGAAACAGCGCAAAGAGGGAAATATATAGCATTGAATAAATATATTAGGAAAGAACCAAAAAGAAATCAATAATCTAAATATTCATCCCAGGAAACTAGGGGGGAAAAAGAACAAATCAAATCCAAAGTAAGAAGAAGAAAAATTATAACTGGATCAGAAGTCAATTAAATTGAAATTAGGAAACCAACAGAGAAAATCCATGAAATGAAAAGCTGTGTTTTTTAAAAAAGATCAATAAAGCTGATAAGCTTCTAGCCAGGCTAAATGAGAAAAAAAGAGAGAACACAAGTTACTAATATCAGAAATGAAAGAAGAGACATCATTGTAGATCTTATAGACATTAAAAAGATAAAGCAGTACTATCAACAACTCCATGACCACAAATTTGATGACTTAGATGAAATTGGACCAATTTCTTGACCGAAGCAATCTGCCAAAACTCACACAAGAGGAAACAAACGATCTGAGTAGGCCTGTATCTATTAAAGAAATCAAATCAGTAATTAATAATCTTCCAAAACAGAAAGAAACAGGCCCAGATGGGCTCAATGATGAATTCTACCAATATTTAAGAAATTTATTATACCAGTTCCCTATGATTTTGTTCAGAGGATAGAAATAGAGGGAATACTTCTTAACTCATTGTAGGAGGCCAGTACTTCCCAATTACCAAAACCAGACAAAGACATTATAAGAAAAGAAAACTACAGACCAATATCTCTCATGCACATAGATATAAAAATCTTCAACAAAGTATTAGGAAGCTGAATCCAACAATGTATAAAAATAATTACATACCACAACCAGGTGAAACTTATCACAGGTTTGCAAGGCTGGTTCAACATTCAAAATTCAATTAATGTAATCCATCAAATTTTTAAAACAGAAAAATCACAATATCATATCAATAGATCCAGAAAAAGCATTTAGCAAAATCTACCACCTATTTTTGATTTTTTTAAAAAAGACTTCAGTAAAGTAGGAATAGAGGGGAACTTCTTCAACTTGGTAAAGAATATCTCCAAAAAACCTGAAACTAACCTCATATTTAATGATGAGAAATAGCTTTCCCACTAAGATCAGGAGCAAGGCACGGATCCTGTCATCACTCCTTTTCAACACCATCCTGAAGTTCTAGCTAATGCAGTAGGACAAGAAAAGGAAATAAAAGGTATACTGAAAGGGAAGGAAGAAAGAAAACTTTGTTCACAGATGACATGGTTGTCTATGTAGAAAATTTGAAAGAATCAGCAAACACTTCTGGAACTAATAGCAATTATAGCAAGATTGCAGGATATAAGGTTAATATACAAAAATCATTTGCTTTCACACATACCAACAATGAACAGATGGAATTTGAAATTTAAAACACAATACTGCTTTTCAGCTGAACTGCCATCTTCCAGTAATTTGCCAAAGTGACTAACTCAGAGAGAAAGAGGAGAGGCATCTGCTATGTGTTCTCTAGACCTTTCAGAAAACATGGAGTTGTATGGCCACCCACATACATGTGAATCTACAAGAAGGATGATACTGTAGACATCAAGGGAATGGTCACTGTTCAAAAAGGCATGCCCCACAAATGTTACCATGGCAAAACTGGAAGAGTCTGCAGTGTCACCCAGCATGCAGTGGGCATTGTTGTAAACAAACAAGGGCAAGATTCTTGTCAAGAGAATAATGTCTGTATGAAGCATATTAAGCACTCTAAGAGCCAAGATAGCTTCCTGAACTGTGTGAAGGAAAATGATCAGATAAAGAAGGAAGCCAAAGAGAAAGGTAGTTGGATTCAACTGAAGGGTCAGCTTGCTCCACCCAGAGGAGCACACTTTGTGAGAAGGGAAAGGAGCCTGAGCTCCTGGAACCCATTCCCTATGAATTCATGGCATAAGTGTAAAATAAAACAAAACAAAACAAAACAAAAAGCTCTGTACTGATAAAAATGTTTCTCTTAATTGAGTAGAAGTTTGGCATCCCTTCCTTCAAAAATATATGTAAAGAAAACTTTGTGTCCTGAAAAAAATAAATATACTATACTATTTACATTTGCATCCCCCAAAATGAAATACTTAGGTATAAATCTAACAAAATACGTAAAGATCTATATGTGGAAAACTACAAAATTGATTAATGAAGTCAAAGAAGAATTAAATAAAAGGAGAGATTTTTCATGTTCAAGGACAGGAAGATTCAATATTGTCAAGATGTCAGTTCTTCCTATCTTGGGGATGTTGATAAGGAGGGAGGCTATGTGTGTGGGGGCAGGGATTTTGTGGGAAATCTGTACCTTCCCTTCAGTTTCATTGCTCTAAAGGAATGAGGTCTTAGTTATAAATTAAAAAAAAAAGAAGCTGTAGCATCTCCCCAAAAAGTCAGTGTGTGGCTGCCAAGGGCCTGAGTGATAATAGCGGGTTTTGGGGAAATGACGTGAGTGCCTGAGTGAGTCCTGAGCTCATGTCTCAATCTTGCCTCCTGCTTGTGACAGGACTTTAGTGTCAGTTTCTTCATCAGTAAAATGGGAGTGACAATACCTAGTTTGCAGGGTGGATGTGAGAACTAGTGATTAGCAATGTTTGTGATCCCACAGTGTGGGACCTGACACCGCTGCCCAAAACTGAAGCTGATCTTAGTAGCAGTGCTGGCAGTGAAAATGGACC